ACTTGACTTGTGAGGAACTGGTGGATGATGTGAAAGGGGCAGGGCCCACGTAAACCTTCACAGGTATTTTGAGATGCACTTAAAGGTGTACAGAAGTCAATTCAATGCTGGTAGCTCAGAAAAAAGAATACTAAGTAAGACTCCAGCCTCTAACACTAGGGCAGCTGAAACATTGGATGTGTAACTAAATGAAGGAGGAACATCAGACACAGTGACTACAAATACTGACACAGAACAGATGACCTAAGAAAAAGGTCAGAAAAATTGTAGCTGATGAAGTTCAATACACCAAAGTTTAAGGTGGCTTAACTTTGAATTTTCAAAAGGTTCTGGTATTTTTTTCTGAAAGCTATTAGAGCTAAATCTATTTTCTCCCACTGTGTACTTGTGCCAATGTGTTACAACATGCTGGTTTTATCTTCAACACCACCATTACTCCCCTTTCCATTTCCTCCTCAAAGCTTCATGTGGGAAGGTGGGAAAAAAGACAAAACATCTGCATTTCTAACAGTTCCCTGTTTTATTGCAGTACATCAAAGTAGGTTAATATTAAGTGTGTTACCAACATAAAATATTGGTGGTAAGTCATTTTTACATTGTTGACTTTTCCACCTTAAATATTTCTGTGCAAAAGAATCTACATCATTGTTCTGTAGCAGAGAATCTCTTACAATGTCCCCTACAACATTGAGGGCATTAAACAAAAGAGTGAGAAGAGGCAAAAAGCAGAATCTTTCCCCCACACGCACACTTGTCAGCTTTTATACTCTAAAACAAAAAAGTGATTACATCTATGCCATGCAAAACTGTACAATAATATTACAATGAAAAACCTAAAAAACATTTTAAAAATAAATGATATGAAACTGTCATACATAAAAAGGCAGGTATAATTGCTCTGAAATACCAACACTGGTTTGTGGATTTCTTCCCTGTGGATGAGACTTTCTTAAATGCAGAATGAAAATAGGTTGTGCTGAGCTGCGGCTGGAATGAAAGACAAAGAGTTGGAATTTAGACTGGAAAGCCTGCAGCAGAGCAGTTTCTGGGGGTGTTTATCAAATACAGTGTGAACACAAAGCACACGGAAGGGTGCAGTTTGTGTTAGTGCAGAAAGTTGTCCCATTTCTTCTATGGAACTGACTCCTATTAACAAAAAAAAAAAAAAACAAAACACCACAGCAGAAGCTACTATGTGCCACTTTGATTCTTGGACTAAGGCTCAGGAGGTGTGGGTACTTGCACTGCAATAAATTTTACCCTTAATGTATTCATTTAAAATTAAACAGTGTGCACAAAATGGAAAAAAAACCACCTTCTTCCACCCAAGAGCATATCTGTCCTGTCATTCGGGGTCTGGCCATGCAATATAATAATGATGCCAGAATCTGTTTCTGTGTTAATATTCCAACTGTTTTGTTTTGAAAGGCTGACACGCTCCGTGAACCAGTTGTGTGGTAAACTACATTTCTATAAATCCACTATGCTTTTTGGACTTTTTTGGTATGACAAGACCTTAACTTCCCTCTGCTGTATACCTGAGAATAACACACCTGGCTTGTAATTTTATCAGAATCAAATCAGAGATAACATTCCTGACTCAGTTTTAAAACTGATTAAAATGAGCAAAATGCCCATTCATAACAAGCCACAGCAACTAACTGAGAGGAAAAGAAGTGCCTACTTCACCGCCACCTCAGGAATGTTTTTTTGAAACCACCAGCTATCTTCTACAGGTCAAAGGCAATAGAGAAGAGAGTACTCTAACCCTACTTTGGGGTTTATGAAATGTGAAAGGAAGCCACATATCTGTGTGCACACATGTGCAGGGGAAAACTGTTCACCAAACCTTTTTCATTCTCTAACCTGGAATCCTTAGTAGCTGCCTGAAGCTGTTCAGATCCTTTCTTGCTATCAAAAGGGGGGGGGAAGCAAAAACCTAACAAGCCATATGTTTAAGCAGCGTCAAAAATGCAAACAACTTCAGTCTCAGCCAAAAGGAAAAAATCAGCTAGATACATACTGTGTACAGAGAACATATGCTACAGTCAAAATTCCAATGGGAGCTTTTAAGCTCCCTGAACAAAATGCAGCCCTCTAACTGTGAAGTTGAAGCAATGCTACAGTGCAAAGTGGCAAACATCAAACCTTAAGAGACAACTGTCTTCGAGATACCAGTCAAGAGTCTTACAGTTCAAATGACCAAGTTACCTTTCCTAGCCCAATGAGTATTTTAAAAGCTCAGCTACAGTATGCATATGTTTTCAGTGTTCATACAAAAAAAAAAAAGGTAAGTGTGGTTTAAAATTGAGTGTATAATCAAATGGTCCCCAAATACGTAAAACTATTCAAGCCCTAGGACAAATTTTTCTCTTTTCCAATAAGTGATGTGGTCATTTGCTTTTCAACTGAGAGAACAGTTGCTGCTTCTCTTTTGAACAGATGCATATAAAAATGCACAGTACCAAACTAATGATTAAATATAGTAATCCTAAAGGAGACTGCCAAGGCTTAGAAAGTGTGGTGTACAAACAGTGTAGGTCTGTGGAGCTCTCATCCTCTGGACTTTAGTTTTGTAACACAGCTGCGGTATGCTCTGCCTGAAAATGTCAAGGTTTGACATTGATAGATTGCAGGCACCGTAACTGAGCAAACATAGGGGTTTACTCGATTTAATTGTTTGCTGTGTTGTGGCTCTTTGGATTCCATTTTCAGATAGAGCATTAGCTCAACTGCAAAAAAAAAAAAAAAAATCCACAAAAAAGATCCTATGACCCTTTCTTGGGGGACTGTCATGCAGGCTGCTCTACCTTAAATGACTGCTGTTTAAATGCCTTCTCTCAACATCAAAATAAGATTAATGTTTAAATACAACATACAGTAAATACAAAACTAGTCTGCAAAGGCTTTGAAAAGTGTGTGGACATGCTTCACCAGAAGGAGGGATTTGTGGGAAAAAAGCAGTGGCTATACTTGAAGCAATATGCAGCCTTTAAAAAGAAGCTGATGTGGAATTTTAATAATGCCAATAACGCCCTGCCTATCTGTCCCTCAGAAAGACTGAAAACTATTCTGGGAGGAATTAATTTCATGTGCTTAGCTGTTTGCTAAAGATTTTAGTATGAAATGCCAGGCTTGCAAAAGTAGTAGCTTTGAAGTGAAAAAAAATAACACAACCGGCTTGCTACTCTGAAAAACCCAAGCGGGAGAGACAGGCTTTTGATATGATGGCTTCTAAAAAAAAATATCTTGAATTCCTGTCCTAAAATAACATTGAATGAGCTTAAACTTGGACAAGCCTCTTGATTCAGAGTGAAAGAAATCTTACCTAGGAGACCCAGCATGATTAAATGCATTAAATGATCTGTGTCTCATTCCCTATTCACATTTAGGTCACACCTGGAAATTACATGGTTTGCACTTACCTATAACTTCTATTAGGGAAGACAGAAACTGGAAAACTCCAAACATCTCTGTGGGTGAAACACTATATACTGCTGACTGCAAAAATATGGAATGGTTTAATAAGAGCCATAAGAAGTTTCCAAAACCCACAAACCCCAGAATTCTGAATACAAAAAGCCCTTACGTGTTTGAGTATGGTCATAGTATAAAGCCAGCAACAATACTACTGAGAAGAGAGGGTCATTTGAACACACTCCCAAATGAAAAACACATCTGCCTTGCTAACTAAAGAGAAGAGACATCTTCCTCTTACCATGCATTTGTAATCAGTCTCTCACTTTATTCTGTTGACTGCATGACCAGCTTCAGCTTTTTATTTATTTTTGCAACTTCAGTGGGCTCTGTCTTCCACCGCAATGCTTTCTGCCCTCTAACCTGACCTGCTATTGGAACCAAACAGCAGGTAAGCACATAGAAACAACTGCAAATTGCACAAACCCACAGCACGGTGGGGAGGGAGAGGAAAACCAACCTTGCCAGCACGGCAGTTGTGGGTGACTAGGCATCTTCGACTACCACAGTGTGAACAGTGTGAGGTCAGTCTTCAAGGTTCTTCGTTGCTACAGTGACAGCATAGCCAGCCATGGCTAGCTTCGGGCTAAGGGCACTCATTTGGCTGATGTGTATTAGCAACTAGTATTTGGTAACAACAGTAACAGTTTTCTGGTTAGGGATGGTCAAGGAGATGTGGAAGAACCGCTCCCTTCAGAGTTAAACCTGCTCAAAGGCTGACCCAGGGAAGCAGTTTTCATGCTGCATTGAACTCCCTTGCTGCCTGAAGGACCTGACCTGTACTGTAGCATGCCGTAAGGTTCCTCAGCTGCACAGCCAGCACACAAGAAACCAGGGCAGGCACCTGGCTGACTGGTGCCCTTGGTTGTCAGGGCAGGGGGTTGCTTTCCAATTGTTATCATTTTTGCAAAGGATGGGGATTAACATGAAAGTAGGAATTATAGCTTCAGTTATGCTACCGCCAGAAGTAAAGAAGTGTTGTGAAAGCACTGCAGGGACCTCTCCTGCCAGTGCAGCGAGTGCTACGCAAAAGGAATATCTGTCCTGCAAAAGGTTTTAGGCCAGGCCTCCAAGTCTGTATATTACCGAGCATGAAAACAGGGACAACACAAATCTTAAATTAAAGGCTTTCTTAAATAAGCATCCATCTTCTGCTGCATACACAATGCTTTTTTTTTTCTTTGAATATATACATACGTATTTTACTCTAACATCTGCGTATTTATTTAAACTCTGTACTGTAGTAAAATATGCATCATTTTAATCAATAAGGATTTGCTGGCGACAATCAGATTGACATTCAAACGTGGTGGCTGAAAGCTTTTATGTGCCTCTGACATACTGATCATTCCCCATGCAGGGGAAGGGGTCTGTGCTACTTTTGTACAGTACAATGAGCTATTGTATGAAAACAAAATCCCTCTGAATTTTCTTTTGTTGATACTGGTCTGGTCTACTTAAGCTACTTTTTGGGAAGTGGAAGGGGGGGTGGGATAAATATGTCTTTAAAAATGAAGCAGCTGTAACCACAAAAATGAAACCAATACTAATAACAAATCTACAGCATCTGATATTTACCAACACCCTAGCTTTGCTCGTTTGCTGCTGTCAGATCTGGGGAAGGGAGGGTGAGGCAGTGCCGAACGGTGCTGAAGACGACCAGCTTTTACCTTCCTCTGTACCCCACTCCCAGATCACTTTCAGACAGGGAATGGGGAGGGTTAGGATGATGAAGGTGAGAACTGGAACGAGTGAAGGGGACAGCCATGGGGGCAGCAAGCTGCTGTGATGTCAAATCCAAATGCTGAAGCAGTTCATGAGTCCCAGCTCACGTGGTCAGAGCTCTCCAGGGAGAGGCTCTTGGTCTTGTGAGGAGAAACCGGGCTGGGAGGGCTGCTGAGGTTGGAGCTGTTTGATGCAGTAGAGTGTCTTGGAGAGTCAGAGTCCTGCAGCCCAAAGACACAGAACAACACTGGTAAGTAACAGGATAGCAAGTTTGAGAGGGACTGAGGGTGTCTGAGCAACAGGTGACTGGATTCAAAGGCTTCCACGTATTTTGCTTGTGTCCAAAAACACTGAGGAATTCTTTCTTGCTCAGAATTTCCTGGTTTGGGCAGACTTAGAGTAAGCAGTCAGATCACTCTGCTTTCAGCTGACGTAAGGACACAACACCTGTGGAATTCTTGCAGTCTGCACGTTGCTGAGGACCTCTTGGTCAGCAGTGTGCAACTTCAGGTTGCTTGTGAAGCTACAATGGCTCCTGCCTTTTCACAGATTATGATCTGAGGTGCTCTTGCACTAAACTGAGAAATCTTTGTGGTATGGGCTTCATGGCAGCTACCTCTTCTACATCACTCCCAGGACATTAATTCAAAGCATCCTATCAAGTTACTTCAGTTGGATCTTCTAGAGTACAGTAGAATGCAACTATGTCTGAGCTTGAATTTGGGTACCATGAAAAGCCTGTGCAATCACTAATTTTCTCACTCATTGGTAAGAAAATGGGCTGGGGGAGTTTTGCTGGCCAACTTTGGATTGAACCCTCCCATATAAAACATTGTCGGTTGGAGGGACTGAGTTTAGCACCGGGCAGGTTTGCAGTCCTGTCATAATGATAGTCTTGTTCTGCACAGAACATGAATTACTAAATCCAGTTTCTGCTCTAAATGAAATTATTATATGGTAATTCTTAAATGACCTTGTTAACTTCAGGCACTCTAAGTACAAAATGTCCCCTCTGAAATGGTTGCTAAGATGATAGCTTAAGAGTCTTTGCAAATAAAGGGTAGAATGAGTATCACCACTTCAAGCTGCGATAGGTCACTATCAAGCTCTTACTCTACTGGGTCAGCATTTTTGGGAGCCTCACTACCCACGTAAGTTACTCTCCAAGGTAAGGAGGGCAGAGAGTGTTTTCTGCATGTTAAATACCAGGACCAGAGTTGACATAGTCTGACCAAAGTTTTTTGTCAGGATAGCTGGAAATACAGGAAATCCAAGTCTTCATTGTCAACAACTCCCAAACTTGTAGCCAAACCCATGACAGAATTGAACTTCCTCATCTTTATCAACACACTTAAATTTTATCCTCTTTCTCCTGTCACTCACCTCTCGCTCATAGTCCCTTGTTGGTGCATCGCTGCCTTGGTCCAGGCCACCAGAGGATAAGGAACCATCTGAGGGCGATGCCATGGGCTGACGCTTTGCTCCGTAGCTACCTCCTGAGAATTCCCTCCGCAAAGCACTGCCGTTTTGCGCAGAAGATCCTAAAATGGGTGGAGGAATTAAACTGTGTTACAGACACCCGCTCAAGGTACTATAAATTTGCTAGCTGTTTCTCTGGTTAGTTCTGCTTTCCTCCAGTATGTCTCAAGATGCTCAGCTCATGGCATGCAGGCTGTCCGGGCTTTTATCTTGCCTGCTGCCAGCAGCATTTCTTCCTAGGGATTCTCTGGTCCCTCCCTCGGCATGTCAGCATTAGCACACTTTACCCAGCACAGACACAGTCACTATGCTCCCGACAAAGACAGCAGTCGTAGAAACTGCTGTGGTGGCAGCCTAGTTCCAGCGGCCTCTTTCCCAGGGAGCAGGAGGGTTGTAACAGCAGGTGCAGACTACAGCAGACACACACGCTTTCTGCAAGCAGTTGGCAACATGCAACAAACGCGGCATGTGCCACAGGAAGGGAAAAAAGCCCTAGAAAAGCTGGGACAGCAGTCTTGCCTCTATTTTCACATAGTCCATTACTTAGTCTCTTGCTTGGTCTCAGCACAGACTGTGCTGACTGGCACACAAAGGCAGCATGTCAGCACTAAGAGGTGTTTCCAATGCAACTCTTCCATACCAGCGGGCAGTTTTCTATTGCTTTCTCTTTGCACTAGCAGCAAGAGAGGCATCAAGAGCTCTACAGAGTTGAGCAACAAAGTTGTGAACAACTTGCCACCGATCTAAAACACTTAAGCAGCAGCAAAGTAGTCCTATGGGTAAAAATGTAATTTTAATTCTAACATCAGTTTTAAAAATTTGACAAATTACAAATGTGGGACTCTCAAAAGTGCTAGCTGCTTATTCATGTGCTCCCTTGGAAAGCAAGATTAAAACACTGTGCTTGCCCTTTATGGGAATAAAATCATCCATCACTTCTGAAAATCCTGTCTAGTGGCAGTATGGAGAGAAGCAAATCCAGGTAGCCGTTTCCCTAAAATACTTGTACATAGACCCCAAAGCAACACAGTTCTGTTTGCTTACGTGCTGCTAACCCGCTGCTTGCGCTCATCGATCGTCCTGGTTCTGTACGGGATTTTGTGATCGATGGGATACTGACAGAGCCACTGAATACGGTCCGACTTTCCTGAGGCCGAAGATTCTGCAATGCAGACACACACAACGACATGTTTACTTATTGACTGCTGGTTCTACCTCGGATGTTATGAAGGAAGGCCCCAAAATACATTTAAACCCCAACCTTACCAGAGCTGAATTATCTGGGCAGCAAGTCAGCAAAATTTGCAAAATAATATTCTGCAGTTTAGTGCAGAGACTGGAAGCACACGCAACGCGATAGTGAAGTGCTGAATTACATGGACATATGCAGACAACTGAAATAGTATGTCTAATAATTCAAGAAGTTCCTTGAAAGGATGGTTTGCAAGCCTAGTTAAGCTGCTATAGATATATTCAACTTGTATTGGATAATGCATTCTTTCTGAATGCAAGCTTCCAAGGTTCTTATTAAAGTATCTCTCTCTGATGCCATCATTTGTGCCATGCATGTGTAACTTTATACAATAACCATGTTAATACCTAATGCCTGCAGAGTTATTAATTAGTGGATTAATCTGTATTTCAATTACTTATGTAATTCCAAAGGAATTAACAGCATTACTCCAGACCTATATGAGTTGAGCCAAAGTGAGAATCAGCCTCCAGTTTTCAGCCTGCTCAAAGAGGATGACCAGAGCACATGACACTGCTTTTCTACATAGTTTATCGCTCCTGTCTTGCACCCTGAAAGTTCCAGTGTGATTTTCTGAATTGTTAAGTTACTGGACTGAAGTGGTCCTTTACTGAGGGAAGAGAGAAAACACAATTTCTCTACTTGGACATGGTAGTTCCTTAAACATAAGTTGTCTTTAAAAGAAGGGAAAAGAGTACTTTTAACAGAAGCAGAAATAGTATCTCCCAGAACTCAGTTCACTTACAGCTGACCTTAGGGGAAAGGCTTCTTGGCTTATTTAGCCCATCTCTCTGTATATGAGCTGGCTTCTTAGGCCAGAGCGACTTTCTAATGCCCATGTGTATCATTTAATCTCTGGCTAAATATGAGACTTCATCCTGCTCCTATCATGTTTTGCACTTTTAAGTCATTAGCATTAACTAGAATTAGGTTTAGGGAACCTTTACAGATGCAGAATGTGAAAAGGCCTGCAGGTAGCTCTGAGCATTACTTTATTTCCACTTTACAAAACACCCCTGCAATAACTATGAATGTCTTCCTATTTATATTTAATTATTTCCCCATCCTCACACTGAAATAAAGTAGCCACACATAAAACAACAGCTGCAATTGCAATGCCTTTTTAAACTAGGATGTTACAGAAATTTCAGACCAAAACAAATATTCCACCCCCACAAGGGTATTCTCAGAGACCCTCAGATACTACCCATTTCTCTACCTGTATTTTAAAATGGATAATTAAATAGAGGCTTTGTAATGAACAGATTTTATACAGTTCAGACTTTATCAGATAATTGTCCAGTCCTTAGTCATTGCTGTAACAGACCCCTTTGCTCTTACAGTCAACCCTTTGCTTCTCATTCTCCCTGTGGGCTAGAAATGGCTGATTTTTAACATGCAACAAACAAGAAAGAATTAAAAGCTCTCCTGTTCCCAGATCTCTCTCAAACACCAACAAAAGAGAATCGGAGACCTCACGAATGAAAAAGCCCCATTTAATTCTCCTCTCATCCACTGCTGCACTATTCTCAATGAGGATTTATACCTGAAGGCTTAAAAAAAAAAAAAAAGTCTCTTAAATCATTTGTGGGATCATACTGCTGTCTCTTGCTTACCTCCCCCCCTGCTTTTTTTTTTTTTTTGTTTTAAAACATGACCCAACCACCTACTTTGTAGTACAAAACACTGAATTTCTCCTCCTGTGTCCTCCACCACGCAGTAAACAATCTGAGTTACCGGTAAGAGTATGAGCATCCTTGCTGTACATAAGCAATGGAGGCTCCCCGGAGAATATGCAAAGGAACTAACAGGCTGAGGAATGAGCTACTGCTGTGTTTTGAGAAACAAGGGAAAGCCAAGTGCAGCACCGTGCAAACGTGTGCGCTGAGGTTAGGCAAGGAAGGTCTTTTGTACTTGTATAACCCCACAATGGTTCATTTTGCAAAGAGAACACTCACGTTTAATGATAAGGCAATTAACCATAACAGTGACTGAGCAAACAACTTACAGGCATCAGGGGAAGGAGGGAACAGGTGGGTGCATGAAAAAGACTCATTTATTTTAATAGTGTATTCTAATCATTATTTTTCAGGGTCTCAGTTTGCAAAGTCCATGTAATTCCTTGTAGAAAGTTTCTCCACAAAGCAAATCCTTCACTGTTCTTTGTTCTAAAAATAAAATAAGCACATGCCAGCAACCCTGGCATTTTTGGGCCACAACACCTGGACGTGATATGCACGTGATGCAGAAAAGGGATTCAAAGAAAAATAAACAGCGGTTATTAGCAGTAGTTACAAAGCAGCAAAACGCAGCAAGTTAAAAACAAAGGAAAAAAAACCCCAAACCTGAGCTTGCTTTACAGAGACAAAACCCCCTCATTTAGAGCAACAATTCAAATCCTAGCAAGAAAATTCATTCCCACTGCTGAA